AACCAAATCTTAGTTTCCTACTAGCAAAGTAGCAATTCTAATAACAACTGCAAAAGATAGTAATTTTTCTAGAATATGCACAAAAGTAGTTATCTTTTCTTGAGCAAATGCAGAAATAGCATACCTGATATGACTGTGATTCTAATTGTTCAAAAATAATAATATTCCAGCGAAGAAGAGATCGTATCAACCAAAAGATGAAAGCTCTGCAGAAGCTAGTTCCAAATGCAAGCAAGGTAAGAATATAGCAAATTTCTGATCCATAAAAAAGAAACATTAAATAATCTTATTATCTTAGCTTTGTACTAATTTTAGTTCTAAAATACAACAGACAGATAAAGCATCAATGTTGGATGAGGTGATAGAGTACCTAAAGCAGCTTCAAGCACAAGTTCAGATGATGACTAATGCGAGATTTATGCCCCAGATCATGATGCCTTTAGGGATGCAGCAACACTTTCATCAGATGTCCCTCCTGGCGAGAGTGGGAATGGGTATGGGCATGCTCGACACAAGTAGCATGGGCGCCGCCCACCCAGCACCTCAGTCAATCCCCTCAATGATTCATCCTACTCAAGTTGGCACTGCTACCTCTGCATTTGTGCCACCTGCCTTTGTCGTCCCTCAGATGATTCCTGCATCTTCCCAGCAGGCAAACCCTGCAGATCCCAGAACCAGCAGTTCTGCACCTTTACAAGATCCCTACAGCACACTTCTGGCACAGGCAAGTACACCATAGTGTTGCAGACTCTTTTTTTAAAAAACTTTTCTTCAATTCAATACCTAACCTGAAGGCTGAAGTTCCTGAGAGAGAACCAAAATCAACCCAAACAAACCCAGACAATTTGCAATTTACCCATTTACCATAATTTTTAATTATATTATGTTTTACATGATTTTTTGATATATTTTTTTAGCATAACTCGAAATTATCCCTACCCGTTTAACTGAATTACCAGATCTTTTTAAAGGGAAGAAATTTATCTGATGCAACTTCAATGTTTACAGTTTACACTGCTTAAGACACTCATAAGAGTAAAATAACCACTGGATGACAGATTTATGTTACCAACAAAAGAAGAATATGTTTTGTGATAGTAACTATCCATATTGACAAGAATTTGTAATGACTCAGGGTGAGATTTTATCGGGAGACTTCAGTCAATATAATGGCTCCAAATTTTGCTACTTGAACAAATAATCAATAACAGTAACTTCATTAATTTATTAACTGTTTAAGAAAGAGTTACGTCTTTCTGTTATTACCTTCTGATTAACAACTAATCCCATCATGATAAGCATGCAGTCTATGAACATAGATCGCTACAACAGGATGGCAGCTTTACAGAGGCAGCAACAGACATCGTCACAACAAACAAGCAGTCAGTTACATTCCAACCATCACATTCAACGGAGTTGAGGCGATTGTTTATGATCTAGAGGTTTTTTTAGCTCCCTTTAGTGCAGTTTTGGCAAAATGTAAATGCATTAGATCATTAGTTGTTGATTATAAGATAATTTCTTTTTTCTTTTTTGTGTTATAATAGTCATATATAAAGCTATCTTCGAACATATATTTGTACCACCTATACAAAATAACCATCAGAACGATATACAATACAAGAAAAAAGAGTAGTTAAGGAATATTGTTCAGAGACGAATTTTCAACTTCCCTGTACCTGTACAATGAGATTTTTCATCTTCTTCATCATAAATATATATATGTAGATGCAACATGTGATATGTCCATAAATATTAAGCACACATCCCTCAGCAAGTTTAAGCTTTACATATGCATTCAAGTTTGCACTATGCAAAATCGATCAACGAAAGTCTACTATAGGGCATGACACCTTGTTATGCCTTTATTTTTTATGTTAAACACTTTCCTCCGTTGTTTGTCTTTCAACAATAGTAACATACAACTTCAGGTACATGTTTTCCTGCCTCTCTCAACACAGGCAAATATTCCCATCTCTTTTGTCACGAGTTTTCCTATTTTGGTCATGACAACATGAAAAAAAACGGAAGGACTACAGTTACAGCTAACAGAAAAACAAAACTAATAATATTGATTTTTAAGATTCTTGCAATATTACCCTTGCATTTTAACAGAAGCTATTGCAATTTGTTGACAGAAAAGAAACCAACAGCCAACAAAAGTACAAATCCACAGGAAAAAGATACAATATAAAAGAAAGAATAATCAAAAGATCACTCATTAGTCAGACAACAAATTTATCTTATTTCTATAAATCAAAGCAGATATTTGGATGTTATTAAGCAATGAGTACTCAATAATAAAATTCTTCCTCTTATTTATAAAAAATAAAAGTTGGAGCTCTTGGTGGAGTGGGGAATTTGCTCAAGTCACCAACATTATCTTTCTAAATGTGAATTAGCTAGGATGATTCTGAAGTCAGGACCACAGGACGAGCCGCCAAGGTCTAATCTAATTATTCTTTAAACCAAAGAAGTTCTAAGATCCAATTCTAGAAACTTGATAAAACTTATGCCCACATTGTAACTGTAATTATAGACTGCCTCAAGAAAAGCATAACTACTTTCTTTCGTTCGACTTTTAGCCATTTGTTTGTGTGGCTTGGAATACATGTCAAGGCATAGGAAGTACTTTATTTTCGACTCCGCTTGGAATATGATAGAGGTGGTTTGAGCATCAAGACATAGGAAAAATGGACTGGCTGCTTAACCAGAAGCTCTACTTTTAAGAAAAGAGAAACAAACTTTTATCCTGCTGAATCCAATCTCAGAACATTGCATTGACAGGACCAGTTACATTTAAGCTCAGCAGATGCACACCACAATTTTGATATGCTCATGATACGTGGGACCATTGCGAAAAATTCATAGTGGCAGGAAGCTTCACATAAGAAAATTAATTGTATAAAAATGATAAATCAGGCTATCCAAGATTATAGGCAACATGCAAATTTATGTACGGAGTTAAGGAGATGATGTCTTGTTCTAAGCATTGAAGTCGACGATCATCTGAGTTGTAACACAAGGACCACTGACAGCTACATGATAGAATGGTTGACAAATAAAACAACCCTCCAAAGGGCTAAATAAATCTAAAAAACTTTTGGCTTCTTATTCAGATTAATCATCTTTACTTAATCAGCAACATTTTTCTATGCAGCATTGAAGGTTACAAATCCAAATTTCGAGCAAAACAATATTTTTTGTCCAAGAAAAATTCAAATTAAGGTCAGGGAAATCAACTCAAAGCCAATCACTAAACCCAGACTTCATAACCATCCAATACGGACTCTTCGTTGTAAGACACTACAACTTGCAGGCCTATTCGGTTAAGATCTTATTCTAACAGATCAATCATATTAGGATTGGGTAACTAGGTACGGTCTTTTGTCGGGTTTTCATTTAGGTAACATGTCATTGTTTCTAAACTTTTTTTTACACGTTCTTATAAAGAGCTTGGAACTAGTCTGCATGCAATGAATAACTTTGAACAAAATCTTGTCTCTTATCAAACTTATTTGTAAAAAAGGAAAAAAAAAAACATTTCAAACTAAAATTTGTCCTCAGCTAAGCTAGAGTATTCTGGTTATCCTGAAGTGAATGAAGAAACGAAACTCAGGTCGATATGACAAAGACAAAGAGGCCCTCCGACATAAATCTAGTCAATACAACAGTTGTCTGTGTATATTTACTATCATCAAAGCCAGCAACCTGCCTCTCTCAACTCTCTGTTCTTCTAGATTGTCATAATATGAATTTAATTACATAATAAAATCCAATTTCGACAATATACTAACAGTTTAAGACATTAATTTCTAATTCCCTATAAGTTTGACTACATTTCAGTAGTTAAAACAGCAATGCAGTCCCAATTCTTTTGCATGCCAATCGCACGTGGCCTGAAAATCAACCAATTCGCCTTAAAATACCAAGGATTACCAACAATTACTCTCTTCGTCCTTAAATAATTGTCTTGTATTCCATTTTGTTCAATCCCAAAACAATTGTCCATTTTTCTCAAAAGGGCAATTTAACCCACCCAACTCACTCAACCCCTGTGACGTGGGCCCCATGGCCTCGAAATTCTCTTTTGAGCAGCCTCTCTTCATATCATGTAGAGCTAAGGTTTTGTAAATATATAGGAGTAAATTGTGGGCTGTGAATATGTGCTGGATCACCAGAACTCTCTCTATGGAACCAATCCCTGACATCTGACAGGTTGGAAAGATATATATCCTCTTTAGTATTTTCTGTGGTTGGTGAAGTTGCAGTGTCAGTAATCATAGTGTGACAGCCACATCTTCACATAATGTTTCATGGGCTTCCAGTTTTTGTTTTATTATGTTTATGATTTCTGGATGAATATGCCAGAATTAATATCAATTTTGTACAGATCATTTCTTACCCTTGTTTAGATTTACTGCTAATATCAGTCAGTGAGCAGAATTTATGGATTCTATCAGTGTGTCTTCTAAATTTTTGGCTCCATTTTACAATCTTGGTAGTCGAATGTTCTCATTAGCCTAAGGGTTATTGGTACTGTAATGTTCTCAGTAATTAAAACAAAAAACCTTTTGATCATGGTTTAAATTCCTATTTGTTCAGGCCTAAGGGTTATTTTCTTGTTGATGTTGAATGAACAACTGTCATTATGCCTGGCTCGCCTATTTCAGGTACAGAGCCCAGTACAAGTACAGGCCCCATGTCTCACATGTTCTTACTCGGACCTGAGACGCCACAACCTTATGTCTGGAAGGGGAGAATAATACCAAGCAATCCATCCCACCTTTGGGTTCAAACAAATGTGATACATATATGACTAATTACAACTATTGCAACAACTTTTGGCATTCAGTACTCTGTACTTTCTCTAGTTCCATGTAGTTGAGACAAGAAAATCCCAAACACAGGGGAAAAAATATTCCAAAGATGTCTTAGTATAGCAATTGAAAAAATTATAATTGTGAATCCCCAAAAAAAAATACATCAGAAAAAAACAATAGCCTCCAAAATGAGCACTGGTATAAATCAAGGAAGAAATTCCAAAATCCCCGCAAATTACAGCAACATTGTATGTCAAAACAAATATGGAGTACAAACATCTCCATGAATGAATATAGGGGAACAAAGGAAAACACAAATGGCTATCTTCACACCATGTCACTCGACTTTAAAGCTATAACTATACACCAGAAATCTATATGATACATACCATATTTTTGCATGTCAGGAGGCACTAGGTTCTACCAAACGTTTGCGATCACGAAGAGACATCACAGTTTCAAAAGCACCCACCAAAGCTTTGACCTTACTTTTCCTAGTCTTGACAAGCTTGCTTGCAGTCTCTTCAATCACATTGTTCAAATCTACATCGTCTTTTTTCTCTGATGCTTCTTGGTGTCTCAAACGAACTTTTTCTGGTCCAGGTTCAGCATCCTGTGTTTCACTGCCCATATCATTCTCGTTCTTCAATTTTTTAATCTCAGCCTTGGCATTTTGGTCCTCACCCAAAATTTTCCCTCTCTTAAACCGAAGTTTTCTGGGAGCACTGTTTGCAGTCTGAAGGGCAACCACAGTGCCTCTCTTGAATTTCACTTTCCAAGCTGAAGCATCCTTCTCTTCAAAAGTACTTTTCACTTTCCTTATTGGTTTCACATTAGGGTCCACAGTTGATTTAGCTCTTGAAGTGCTAGTTTTTGACCAACCATCTTCTCGTAATGTGTCAGTCTGTTTGGTATTTTTGTAATCTTTCGTCCTGCGACTCACAGTTGATTTTGCTCTTGGTGTTACAGATTTTGATCCACCATCTTCTGTTTTAACTTCAACCAGTTTGTTCTTTGTAGTCTCTGAACCTTGCTGATCCCCGCCCTGATGCCGAGAAGAATCTCGAGATGAAGAAGACAGCAGACTGAACCCAGTTCCTTTTTTGCTACCTTTAGACCCTTGAGCTTTGCTGGTCTGAGGAGTACATCGTGGATTTTCACCAGGAGATATATCTGAATTTGGGTTAATCAAACAAAATGTTTTCTCAGAAATATCATCATGTCCACCAATTTTGGCTTCTTCAGGATTAACCTGATTTTTGAAGCGAGAAGAACTCTTGCGATTTTTGTACAGTCTTGCTTTGAGGCTTGGAGATTTCTTCAGGGGTGTCTTCGGAGAATTACTCATTGGCTCCATTGCTTTGATCTCTTTTTCACCCTTGCCATATATAGTTTTCTTCTTCAGTGATGTCTCTAAAGGGCTACACAATGGCTCTTTTGTCTTGACCTCCTTTTCACCCTTGCTATAGCTGCTCTCTTCCTTCCATGTCTTGATTGCTTTGACCTTTTGGGTCAAGCTTTTCTGCAAATTTGGGCTTTGAGTCACTGGTTTCTTGACAGCTTGAGTATTAGTCTTACTTCTGCTTGAAGTTCCAGGACTTGGAACCGTAAATGGCTTAAATTCACTCTGCACACGCTTCATCGTTGACCGATCTATGTCTTTCTTAGGAGAATTATTGTCCTCCATACGCATTAGTATAGCTTTCTCTGGTATGGGACCTGAAAGGGATATGCGTCGTTTCCGCTCTTTCACCTTGGCCACTTTCTCCAGCGCACAACTTACCAAGTCTTCACTAGTTGTCTTCTTTAAGGGCTGGGTTTCTCTATTTGTTCGATGTATTAGTCTGCTAGTCTTCTTCTCTGACTCATGTTTATGGCCATATTTGCACATATCGTGGCAGGAACCAATTGAAGCATTACGATAGCGGGAACGGACATTAAATTTATGATTTGGACCAACAATAATTAAGTCAGGCTTTTTTCTCAGCTGACCTACAGAAAAATCAGTATCTTCGGTTGGGGATTTCTTTTCAAGAACACCCTCTGTAATATTGCCTCTCAAATTTTCATCTTCTTCCTTGATTGAAGAAGTAGTTCCATCAGCCAATTTATCAGTTTCTTCCTCATCAGTAAAGCCAGATTCCATTTTCCCCTGGTCAATGCTGCTATCACTAACTTCCTTGGCCAATGATTCAATATTCGTCATTGTATCACCACTCTCCACCTCCATATCTTCAAGTGAAGCCTTATCATCATTTTCCTCAGCCATACTTTATTGGAAAGAGAAGTAGGTGAAAGGCACGACTCTGAAGCATTAACAAAGTTATTAGGATCCAAATGATTAAACTCATCAAAGACTAATAATATTAACCAATCAAGTGCGCAGTAGGTAGTCACACCCAACAGTAATACATACATGAGAAATTTTCAGAAATTTGGTTTCAGCAATTTGGACTGTTTAGTGACAGAACACAATACTATATACATTACTACAAGAACTTATTACAATTGCTGACCCTATAACTTCAAAACATGTCTCTTCAAAGGCTTACTAGTAAAGCTCAAAGGTGAAAACTTATCCATATTTGTGTAACAGATTCAAGCCAAACACAACCAAATAACATAGAAAAGCAATAGAACAGTAAAATAGAGAAGAAAGATTGAGGCTTTAATTAACAGAACAACAATTTACACAATCAATAGGTTTAGCCTATCAAGCTCCACAGTGAGTTTAGCTCGTAACTCTCCAAATAGTGACTAGAGGTCACAACTCTCATAAGGATTTACTCCAAAATTTTGGCTGCCTTTTGCCTTTTCCACTCCCTCTATTTATACTAAAACTAAAACCTAATAATACTAGACTATCCATAGTGCCCCTCCCTAGGTTAGTTTATTGCAAATTGTTCCCAACAGGTGGTATTAAAATAAGCTCCTTTGAAAACAATGTGTCTGGTCTGTTGCAACTAAAATTTCAAAAAAGATGAATGTTTTACGCTACATCTCAATGCAGATCACCATCTTATTTTCTCAACAATGTTGGGACGAAAAAGAAGAAATAAACTCAACTGTTTTTCTAACAGGATCTCCTTCTTCTTCCATTTATTAAAGGGCAAAGAGAAGCGGAGTGTGATGTCACGTGCAAACAGTGTCCCTGGGCTAGAGTGCAGTGAGTCTCATATAAAGAAACTCCCTTTCTTTTATGCTATGTTTTGGTGCAAGTTGGTGTCATTGCATGTTGTACTCCTCATTTTTAGCTGTGTTTTATGCTTGTTGCGCATATGGGGTAGGATGGCATGAATCTAGCCTAAGTAATTTTTGGAGCTGCAAAACATTTTGCTGGGAATGTACAATATATTGAGGAGTTGTCTAAATGGTTTTTTCTTACTAGGCTTGATCTTATTATTGCTCTAAAGGGATGTAAGCTAAGACTAACACTGACAACACAGTATGCTAAGATGCTGAGAGTGGATAACCAGTTAGTGTGCATTAAATAGTACTCCGTAACTCTCTTTTCTATTATGCTATGATCAAGTATTTGAGGATGAAAAGAAGCCTAAAAAAAGGAAATTGTACTTAATAAAGTAGATTAAATAGGATAAAATTGTACCCCAAACACTCTGATCTCATTAAAAAAATTCCTCCCTTCAAATACCAAACTACCACTGACAACCTTAATTTTACAATGTGTCAATGAAGTCACTTCCTCTAAATGCCTTTTCCAATACAAGTAAAACCTCGAAAATCCTTATGAGGCCTTGAACGCGTTTTCTGCTCATCCATAAATTGAACCCTGCCACCCTCAGTTAGTCAATCATTAGGAAAGAGATTTACATGTAAATTAAGAAAGGTAGGGATGACTCAATAGAACACAATTATCAAGTATGCCCACTACACTGAAAAAATGATAAAAGCCTCAGCAAGCAATACACCCAGTTTAAAACAAAACCTTTCAAGTAGGACCGGATATCAAAACAAGAGCACTATGCCTAAAAATCCTTCAACTCTAATCAAATAACTCTTAAATACCACTATGCCATTGATTATTCTGACAAATGAAAAAGTATAAGAACTTTGCAATGAAGAGTAAAACCAGGCTCTAGAGCAACTAATTGATCTAACACAATCTACAAGCCTGCCATTACATACCAATCATCTACGAGGTACGAAAGATATAAGACTTCCAATTAGCAACCATTCATCATTCAAGCACTTTTGATGATAAACTATAAAAACAAATCAAACAAAAAAATTTCTACCAAGTAATTATCCAATTCGGTAGTATACTTACAGTAATAAGAGAATTATATGCAACCAATTGAAGGAAATTTTATTATTGACATGATATCACCATTAAATACCAACAAAAAAGGGGATAGACATTTCACATAGGATAAGAAATCAAATCATGATACCCCCACTTGGCTATTCCTGAATTAAAATCAACATTCATACCAATCAAAGAATGCATATCCCCAAATTTGGTAGTTTGAGAATCGAAATTAATATGCAGATTACCCATTTCAAATACAGTTATAGCTCAATCACAAATTAAATGATAGGATACACATCACTAGTAGACCCGGCAAAGCTGACTCGTACCTGATTACGCAACACAAAATACCCACACCAAACCCGTTATACATACCATTGTGGATTTGTGGCCTAGAATATCACAAATTACAAGATACCCATCTCAGTAAAATATAATTAATCACAAAAAGGAATCACATTATTATACAACCATAATTAGCATGAAACACAAACCAACTTTTGATCAACAATCAAAATGAACAAAACATGAACAACCAAACCCAATTAAAAAAATGAATTAAAAACAAAATTCACAATCAAATCTGAATTGGGTACAAGAAAAAATAAATAATTACCGAAATTAAAAGGTTAAATAATAGTACCTTGAAGAAAAAATTTCTCCAACCCAGAAGAAGATGAAAAATGGAGGAAATATTCAAAAGGGGTTTGAACGTTCTTCTGAAAAATCAAGGATTAATTAATTATATTTTATTTAATTAGTGGATTTTTAAGGGGTTTTTACCAATTTTAAGAAAAGGAATATATAATTTTGGTGCGTTGTAAAATGATGAAAAAGAAAGGAAAATAGGAATGAAGAGAAGAGAAGCAGCAAAGCAAAGCAGGTATGACTTGGAGAAAGCGCGTTTGTTGGAGAGAGAATTCAAGGGTCCCGCGCCAAATGTAACGGCCGTGCAATTTAGTGCTTTTAATTAGTTTTAAGGCATTCTTTGTGTTTTTTATTTTTTATTTTTATTTTTAATTAAACTTTTTTTTTTTAATAATAAAGCTTATCTAATTATCCTTTGTTAATAGGTGTTTATTATCTTTAATACAATCTCTAATTAAAGAAAAAGGGATTGGCAAAGAGGGTTATGAAGTAATGATGTGTTTTTGGAGGGGGGAAAGAGAGATGGTGGAAATGTAGAATGGTCTAGTTGAAATGTGTATTCACTCATGATTCTCATGTGGTAAGAGTTAGTTGTTGAGTTTGATATGACCTTTTCAATGATTAATTATAAACTTTCATGTTATGGTTCATCATCATTTGTTTTTTTTTTTTTTTACTACCATATGTAATAGTGATCACTATGTTTATATTTAAATGTCAATTTTCAGTTGTCATAAAAAAATTTTCATAATAGGAAAATAATGTAACAACTTTTGAATATACGATTATTGGATCTAATCTCAAACTCAACTTGGAATTACAACTATTGATTTAGATATAAAATAATGTTGATCTAACGGTTTATCCCAAAGTTCCAAATCCACTCGACACATTGCATCTAATATGAATTAATTATCATCATAAGATGATGGATTTAAACCAACTCAAAACTAGATGACTAATCAACCAAATATGACCTAACTCAACTTGATTCAAACTGACTTAATTGTCACCTATGAAGATAACCCAACCCTCAAGGCCTCAATAATTGGTTATTTTGATTGGTGCTTGAGGTAAACAAGCTCATTTGTTTCCCATAAAAAAATTAAATATTACTCTGTAGTTTATTTTTTTATGAAAAATGTGACTTATATAAGAATAAGTTCTCCTAAAATAGTATATTGGGCTAAGCTAACAAACAACTTAGCCATAATTAAAACGGGGAGCCTGCATGGGCCATTGGACCGCATGCCTAATGAATAGTGATCAGATAGATGATAGGCGGGAGCTTCTTACAAAAATCATACCAACTTTTGTTACCGTATAAATTTCAAATTTTAATATACTCCATATTTTTGTTAGGGTTTTTTTTTATCATATACCCCTAAAATTTCTGTTTATTCACCATATATCTCCGAACCCTTTTAATTTATCATATACCTCCGAGTTTTCACAAAAATAAACCATATACCCTTGATAATTAATGATTGTTAACTTCGTCAATCATTAGGATTAATTATGACCCGAAACCACCCTAAATACATTCCCCTAACCCCGAAACCACCCACATTCCTTTTTCCCACCCCTAAAATGACCCCAAATTTCCTTTTCTCATCCTCAAAATCAATCATACAAATATGGTTATGGAGATTCGGAGTGGTTTCAGGGGTTGGCGAAAGGAGATGAGTGATTTCGGGGATTGGGGGGGGGGAGGAGAGATGTAAGGTGGTTTCGATGCATAATTAACCAAATTCCACTCATCTTGTTGTCATTAGGGGTATATGGTGAATTTTTGTAACAACTCAGGGGTATATGGTGAATTTGAAAATTTTTAGGGGTATATGGTGAATAAACAAAAAAACTCAGGGATGTATGGTAAAAAAACCGTTTTTGTTACATAAGTTGTATTTTCAAATGTGTATGCAATACTACAAAAAGAAGTGTCTCTAACAGTTGTTATTTTCGTTTATAAATTATTAAATACATCCGATTGTGTACTAATATAAATTAAATTTTGAAATTTATACTCGTATGTGAAATAAGTCAACTGCTTGATAGTATATTTTCTCTGACAAATTTTAGTCGAACCAGGACACCATACTAGACACAGGAAAAAAAAAAAAAAAAAAAAAAAAACAGCTTATTTGAAGGTAAGAGAAGAAAGCCCAAGTCTTTAACATTCACAACAAACTTAAAATTTCCAGTAGAAAGAAAAATTAAAATATGGTTGGGAATAAAATGCATGAAGCCTACTTGTGGAATTAATTTCAAGAACAGTCCTTATTGACAATTGACATTATTTATTTGAGACCCCAGCTAATGAATGACATCCAAAGCAAGTCCACCTGCAGACAGCCAGCCTTTAATGAAAAGAAAACCCAACCGCAGTAACAGAAATATGAGGAGCCCTCCCACTAAAACAAGAGTGTCAAATTTTGATGTCATCTCACCATGTCCTCCCTACCTTTGTTTTGGGTCATTTCTGCATTATTTTGCAGCATAAAGCATCTGAATGTATTCACAGATTGATGGCCAACGAGTCGACGACTAACTCAGGTGGTGGTCGTAGGAATCATGACATTAACAAATCATAGACATTGTGGATAACAGATTCTTCGCTTTGTAAAGTTGTTGTCATGGCTCATGGCAGGCATGCATTGCCATTAACAATTCATATAGCAGTGTAGTCACCAGATTCTCGTCGACATCAAGTGCATGCATCTGTAAGCCAATCCTATAGACCTACTAAATACGGGTATATCCCAGAAAACAAAAGCAAGCAGTGAATTAACACTCCCACTGATTGGGATTATCAGTCCAATCTCAGAGCAAGTTCTGATAAATTGAATATAGGGTATAAGAACCTGAGATTGGATTATGTTCACTCCAATATCTGAGATCAGTTCCTCAAACAGAAGCATATAACTAAATTTAGCTAGGTTATGAGTTGACAGTTCTACAGGAGCATAACACTGTTTCGATACAACAGGCCTAGAAAGTTGTCAAATACTTCCTCTGTTCCACAAATATTGCAACAAGGATGAAATTACGCATCCCAAAGCACATTTTATATTCTAAATATCTATAATTATATAAGAGTAAAAATTATAAAAAGCTGATATTGTGAAAGTATTTTACGAGACAAATCTAACAAGACACCACATGACTATATTTTACTTTACGTATAAATCATAATATGTGGTCAAACAAGCATGATAAATAGTGTAAAAGTCTAGTTGTTGCAATATTACTAGAACGGAGAAAGTATTACTCTTCTTCACAGCAAAAAACTCGACAACTGATTACCAATGTAATATGAGTAATTCCTTAAACTGTCTTAGACGAGTGATCAAATGACTGAAAATTGAATATTCATCATAGTTTATATTACAAGATAGACAAGGCCAACAGCAATACAGTTGAGATAGAGATAAGAGCAGAACATGCTGGCTGATTAAGAGGCAACTTTTAACATATACCTATACATCACAGTGCTACACAAAGGTTCTACCGGTGCTAGGCCTGCTCGCATCGGTTTGCAGATACCAAACCTCAAACCACAGCGCTAAATTCAAGAAGACAGGTTTTCAGCACAGAGCATTTCATTAACATTCTGCAGAGGAAGGCAGGTAAACTTCATGGACACTTCAGAAAGGGGTGGTCATCAAATTAATGACTTGCAGAAAAGGCAAGTTCTACTGTTCACAGGTATAGAATGCAGGAGAAAAGAGAGCACTTTAACCCTCAGGTGAGAATTTCTCTAACTAACCAATCCAAACTGGGGTATGCAAAGTAGAGCACAAGGAAAGATGGAAAGGCAAATAGAACAGTGATGAGAAGATACAAAGCCAAAATGGCAGCACTTGTAGGTATTGCATAAAGGGTGACAAGAAGGAATAATACCACAAGGGGAAATTTAGCGGTCAAGTGAACTATGAATGCCAAGGACTTACGAAGAGACATGCTGAGTCTCTCTCGGTTGAAGTACTGACGTAAAAAGCTAATGCTATTGTGATTAAGCTCTGCCCCATCGGGTGATTGTTGAATTTCCCGATGGGATCTAGCATGGGAATGGGTAGACATACCAGTACTTCCATTTAAAGAACCTGGTTGACGAAATTCCCCATGGCCAGATGCAGAAGACCTTGTCCTATCCCCATTCATACTCTCAACCATCCAGAGGATGAAGTAATTTTTCCGAGGATATCTAAGAGCACCTTTGTATATCATCCGAGGAGAGAGAAAATTGCACCATGGACAGGAGATGAAGAATGGAAGCTGGATCGGAAGAGTGGGAAATTTCAGAGCAGCCCATGGGAGTCCCAGGACACAGTGCTTGCACAGAGTGTGACCACACCACAACACATAAGGGACATTCTCAACGAGATTGAAGGACTCCCAGCATATTGGACACTCCAAGCCTTCTTCTCGGTTGGTATCAAAGGATGCATCATCATCTGAGCACTCTGCATTTGAATTTGAAAGATCATCCTTCAACTTGACACAGCCTGCAATGGTGCTTGAATTACAGGTCCACATTGTAACTAAGTCAACAGGGTTAAAGCTGACTTTATCTTTCTTTCTGATTGGCCATAAGAAATTTTCATTCACTCCTCTTCCAAAAGGTATTACCAAGTCATCAGCATCAGTATTCAAAAGCTTGATCTGAAACTCTGAAAGAATGGAATTCTTTTAAATAAAAGTTGCAATAGCTATGTAAACTCTTGTTCAAATTATTTTTACTCCATGTATATATTCAATCTTCAACTTTACAATTCAAACTTCCAATTGTACTGGCAAATTACTATGAGCACAAAGGAACACACAGAATCAGAACCTATCAGACAAAAGATAAACTTCATAGTATCAGTTTAAAACTTTAAATATTCAAATTATTCAAAAGATTTTCCATAGGCCAGATGTGCAGGGCAAATATTTATCAAATATGCAACATCACTCGTAAGTTCGTATTCATCTATTCCTACTTTACTCTATCAGGTTTCCCCTTTCTACATCTTTCACACTCTCTCACCTCCCTTCCTGAATGGAAGGAGTACATTACTGATCTCAGGGATAAGAAAGGGTGAAAGGAAATAAACAGTCAGGAAATCACATATCAAGCCTAACTTTCAAATTTATCAACTGTCATGACTCATGAACCCTAGTTTATCAAAAGACCAATATGTTCTTTTATTAATGAAAAGCTCTAGGTCATATAGTTCTCTCACGTACAGCTGACTCTAATAAGCAACAGCTTGTCATATCTACTCTCCACCCGTCTCTTTCCCCCTCTCTGCCTAGTGAGAGCCTTAATGGCTAATTCTTCTGGAAAGCAATAATAAATGGCAAGTCTCACCCTCACCCAGCTCTGGATATGTTCTTACATGATTCCTCCAAATCTTGGTGACATATAAGTTCTTATTGGATGCAGGGAATCAGAGAACAATGTCAACAGCAAAACCAATTTGCAAAGAGGGTGTGGGAAATAACATGGAGAAGGCCAGGTCAAGCAAATAGCAATAAGGACAAAGTACAATTAGATATTTTCAAAACAAACCCTAGATCCAAATTCTTCATAATTTAGAGGCCTGGAACAACCATGGCCAGACAAATTTTCTGTTTCCTATAATCTGCTAAATTATTTTGATATATAATATGCCCTTCAGAAGGCGAATTGAAGTACCATTGATTTCTAACTATATATTCACAATTGTAGTCAAGCAAAACTGAGGTGGAAACATTTACAAAGATGGTAATGAGAGATGCTACTTCCAAACATCAATGCAAGAAGAATATTATTAGGATGCTGCCACATCAAGAGAAAAACTTCAT